ACAGACACCCTGTGAGGGAGGTGGGGCTGAGAGAACTCTGACAGGAACTGCTCTTTTTCAAGAACAGCTCTGACAGAACTGTGGCTTGCCCAAGGTCATCCAGCAGGTGCAAGTGGAGGAGTGGGGAATCAAACCCGGTTCTCCCAGATTAGAGTCCACGCACTTAACCGCTACACCAAACTGGCTCTCACCAAACTGAGTATAAGGGACTGAGAAAATTAATGAAAGAAACACAGTGACAGTGAATCTTAAATTGAAATACACTTTTCTAAGCCCATTGACTTAAAGGGATACAACTCTGCTTAGCGCTTCACTATGAAACCGGTCACTTTTTACCCTTCTAAAAAATACCTGTAAGCCAAGAGCCAGAAATCCGGTGGCAAAGAGTAATTGGTTATATCTTTTATGTATTTAAATATCTTTCCCCCCAAAAAAGGTTGAATTTTTGGACATGTCCACCAGCAGGGAATGAAGGTGCCCGTATTACCCACCCTTTCCAGCACTAAGGGTTACCAATTACTTTTGTGTGATTTAATTTTAATGGGGTCAAATACCATGTGGTATGAATTTTGAAAGATTGCAATCGGATATTTAATGCTTTTGAGGTGTACCTTTTGGAAAACCTTATTGAACTCCAGAGCCAGTTTGGTGTAGTGGTTAAGTGTGCGGACTCTAATCTGGGAGAACCAGGTTTGATTCCCCACTCCTCCACTTGCACCTGCTGATGTGACCTTGGGTCAGTCACAAGCTCTGGCACAGCTGTCCTTGAAAAAGAGCAGTTTGTGTCAGAGTTCTCTCAGCCCCACCCACCTCACCGGGTGTCTGTTGTGGGGAGGGGAAGGGAAAGGAGTTTGTGAGCCGCTCTGAGACTCCAAGTGAAGGGCGGGGTATAAATCCAATCTCTTCTTCTCTTCTTCTTCTTCTTCTTCTTGTCCATCAATAGTGTTACCACAGTCTCTTTGCCAAGATCCCTGGCAGCTGGACTCGGATATCCAATGCTTAAAATTCAGAGATTTATGAATTCCAGAGATCAAGCCTTTAGAACTGCTCACTTCAGATTTCAAAAGGTCCTCGGACTTGGTTAGGTCTCTATTAAGTAGAGCATTTAATCCAGTTTTGTAAAAGATCAATTGGAAAGGAAGCTGTGTGATATCGAATCGACCACCAGAGGGAACAAAATGTGCAGAACAGGGAGAAAACCCAAATAAACAAAAATTTAACAGCAAGTAAAATGAGAATGCAGAACAGCCCTAACACTTCTGAGAACTGCACTGCAGTACTTTGATGGGTCAATTTTTCTATACAAACATAAACCCCAAACTTTAATTAACCACAATCGTTAAACATCAGAGTTGTTTGCACTTCTCATGCTTTGCATTGATCTGCTGTGTTAGAACGATGAGCCGTAAACTATGCAAATAAAGAAGAAATCATTATTTTCTCAATCAATCAGTCTCCCAATCCCATTTCCATGTAAAGCCTGACTTCAGTGTAATGTTTGCAAGACGAAAGAGCTTCCTGTGTAAATTTACATAGGGTCACGGTCTTCTTTAAACTGTGCTGAACCCTGTGCAAAGACGCCACGTGTCCTCAGTGAGTATGTTGGCATCGTTTCTACAAGGACTGTGGCTTTCTGGTGTGCAAACTTAGCTGCTTCGCACAGGCCGCAGAACCGGGGCTATTTTTGGGCAGGAACGCACAGGAACGAAGTTCCGGCTGGCTCTCGAGGTGGCCATGCCCAGCAGGAACTCATTAGCATAATAGGCCACACCCAACAGCAGAAACGCGTTAGAGTTGGCTACATTAGGGGTGTGTGGCCTAACATGCAAAGGAGTTCCTGCTACAAAAAAAAGCCCTGGGTTTTGACCACAAACAAGGTAAACAGAATAAGAAGCAAAAGGAGGGCGTGGCTGGATGACCACACTTCTGGTAAAATGGGGTTGGGGCCTAATATGCTAATGAGCTGTGCTGTCAGGGTGTGGCCTAATATGCTAATGAGTTCCTGCTGTTGGGTGTGGCCTATTACGCTAATGAGTTCCTGCTGGGCTTTTTCTACAAAAAGAGCCCTGCGCAGAACAATTTCAATGGGGCACTGAGCAGTGCTCCCTCTAAGCTGTGGAGTCTTGTGAGCAAAGATTCTACTCTGTGAGCTACTGGCATTAAAGTTGTGGGTGAGCAGTTTGGCTACTGCATGAATCAGTTGGCCCTGGAGCCCTCCTTCCTGAGCGAAGACAAAAATGTGTGAGCTGGAGGCTACAAAACAGTGAGCTGGCTCACACTAACTCAGCTTAGAGGGAACACTGGCACTGAGCCCTGTTCTAAGCTCCTGATTCCTCTGCCACTCCAAGCAGCTGTGGGAGAATAAAAAAAAGTGGCCACCAGGCCATTGGTGTGACATCACTTCTGTGGGGAACCCAGAAGTGAGATTATGCCTGTCTAGGAATTGCCACAAACTCTATGATAGAACCATAGAATTTTCAGCAATCCCTAGAGAGGACGG